CCAAGCCAACAGGCCTTGTCTTTTTCATCCTTACCCTAAACACTAAGCCCTAAACCCTAAACTCTAAAGCCTAAACCCGAAACCCTAAACACCTAAACCAACGGTCCTTGTCTTTTTACCAAGGCTACTGTTGGTGGAGCTCTTGGACCAACCCCCTCTTCGAGATTTCGAGGAGCCGGACCTTGGTTGAGTTTTTTGTAGAGGGATGAGAGGGTGTAGGGTTTAGGGTTTAGGGCAGGTGGGTTTAGTTTTTATCGGGTTTAAGGGTTCGAGGGTTTAGGGTTTTGGGCTTTATAGGGTTCAGACGTTACGGCTCGGCTTTAGGCGTTTGGGGTTTGAGGGTTTGTAGGTTGTTGAGGGGCTACAGGGTTTTGGGTTTCATGGGCGGGCGCCTTCGGAATTTACATGTTACGCAGTACAATTTTGCATGGGCTCTCTCCCCGCTAGCCTACGAACAAAGGAATCTTTAGGGTTTAGGGCTGCTTGTAAGCGAGCCTAAGCAGGTAACATGGGGGACTAGGGTGTAGTGTTCCCAGAAAGACTCTCGGAAGAAACCGAAACCCTCAACCCTCAACCCTAAACCCTAAACCCTAAACCCTGAACCCTAGGCCTGAAGAAGCCTGGAAGGCCCTAACCCTGAAATGGAGTACAGAAATCTAGGGCCACCTTGAACGCTTTGAGGCTTCCAAAGACACCTTCTTATCGTCGGATTCCTAAAAAAGAAGCCACTTCCCCCACCTGAAAGCTCCTAAACCCTGAGCCCTACTTAGTTGCTGAGTTCATAAGCTCCCCTAAAAAGTGCACACTTTCAGTTCTATAGGGGATTATAGTATCCCAAAAGTGTAAAGTGTACTCACTCAGCTACGAAGCCTAGGCGTTTGCTCATCAAGAACGGCCTGGGGGCCCCTGCCCCTGGCTGTTTCGGCGGTTAGACTCCGTCGGGACTCTCAGGCTATCCTCATTCGTGCCCTGGCGAAGGATATGGGGTATAGGCTGTAGGGCATAGGGCTTAGGATCTGAAAGCTAAATGTCTAAGGTGCGTCCGGGTTGTTTCGGGTCTAAGCTGTAGACCTCTAAGGATGGGCCTGCCATTTTCCATGACCTCAGTACAAAGCCTACGAGGCTTTTCACGTACCCAGCAGGGCCCGAGGAACAACACCACCTACCCTCTCAAACCCTAAACCCTAAACCCTAAACCCTAAACCCTAAAGTGTCATGGGGCCATGGGGCCCCAAACCAAAACCCAAAACCCTTCAGTAAACCGTCTGCCAAATCTGCATCTACACAACGGGTGCCAAAGCTCTAAGGACACTGGGGGGACGAGCTGACCAGGACCCAGAGAAGGCCCTTGTTCCTTTTCTTTTCTTTTTTTCGGGGGATCGGGGGGGTTCGGTTCCCTTAGAAGCCCCTTTGAACCAAACAAGGGCACGCTGTTCATGCCTACTAAACCCTAAACCCTAAACCCTAAACCCTAAACCCTAAACCCTAAACCCTAAACCCTAAACCCTAAACCCTAAACCCTAAACCCTAAACCCTAAACCGGTAGCAAAGCCCTTGGGAGGGTTACTCTTGGGTGGTAGCTGAAGACCGGCGGATTTCAGAGCCAAGCCTTGAACTCGCCGCTGCCCCTGACCAGCAAGCTTGGGTTTGTTAGGGTTTAGGGTTTAGGGTTTAGGGTTTAGGGTTTAGGGTTTAGGGTTTAGGGTTTAGGGTTTAGGGTTTAGGGTTTAGGGTTTAGGGTTTATGGTTTAGGTTTAGGGTTTAGGGTTTAGGGTTTAGGGTTTAGGGTTTAGGGTTTAGGGTTTAGGGTTTAGGGTTTAGGGTTTAGGGTTTAGGGTTTGGGGTTTGGGGTTTGGGGTTTAGATTCTTTCAGGGTGTCTCACAGGGATTTTTAGGGTTCAGGGCATTTAGGGCTTTGGGGGTGCTAGAGCTTTAGGTTTTTGGCTTCTTTAAGCTTTTGCAGGGTTCTTTGGGGTTTTGAGGGCCTTTAGTGTTTTTGAGGGTTTTGGGATTTTCGGGGTTTCAGGGGTTTAGGGCTTTAAGGTTTTTGGATTTCAGGATTTTTTTAAGGTCTGGGGATTTCGGGTGCGTGTAGGGGCCTACCATGAATGCAGGGGGGACGACTTCAAGGTCCGGAAACTTGCCTTTACAGAGAGCCTCGCCTGACCCCCCTTCTCCCCACATGTGGCATTTCGGCGGGGGCAAGCTTGTCTTTAAAGAAGGCCTATGCCTAGGTACCCTTTACGATAACCCAAATACCCCCCTAAACCCTAAACCCTAAACCCTAAACCCTAAACCCTAAACCCTAAACCCTAAACCCTAAACCCTAAACCCTAAACCCTAAACCCTAAACCCTAAACCCTAAAAATCCTAAACCCTAAACCCTAAACCCTAAACCCTAAACCCTAAAAATCCTAAAACCTAAACCACAAACCCTAAACCCCTAAACCCTAAACCCTCAACCCAAAACCCAATAAGGTCATTAACCGGGGGTCGCGCAGGGAAGCCGCGCCCAGGCCCGGAAGAGCCCCACAGCCCCCCAAAAACCCTCACCATTCCTCTATCCCTGAACCACAAAACTGCCGGCCAACAAAAACCCTGAAACCCTAAACCCTATTAGGGTTTACCCTAAACCCTAAACCCTACACCCTGAAACCCCACGGTTCTAGAACATGTCTGCCTCTGTTCTTCCTTCTGCGCAAAGGAGCGCCGAGCCGTCACCGGCAGCCGTGGCGAGTTCTCCGGGGATTTCGGAGCCTCCAGTCAGGGTTTAGGGTTTAGGGTTTAGGGTTTAGGGTTTAGGGTTCAGGGTTCAGGGTTCAGGGTTTAGGGTTCAGCATGTCAAGTCCGAGCATTCACTAGTCGGGCAGCTTGTCAAGCTTTTCAAAAAACCCATCCACCCGAGAAACCCGTAACATTGAGAAAATACAAGGTTCACTCAATCCATTCCCAGTAGGCTTAAAGCTCAAAATCCAGCGGACCCAAAACCCATGACCCTAAACCCTTGAGACCCTAAACCCTTGAGACCCTAAACCCTTGAAACCCTAAACCCTTGAGACGCTAAACCCTTGAGACCCTAAACCCTTGAGACCATAAACCCTTGAGACCATAAACCCTTGAAACCCTACACGCTCGAGACCCTAAACCCTGGTGGGGGAGGCGAGGGGGGGGGGGGGGGGGGGGGGGGGGGGGGGGGGGGTGGGGCGGGGGGACGCCCACAAGCAGGGAAAAAGGGGGGGACGCCCACAAGGAGGCAAAAATGCCCACAAGCAGGCAAAAAGGTGCCCACAAGCAGGCAAAAAAAAGCCCACAAGCAGGCAACAAATGCCCACAAGTAGGCAAAGATGCCCGTAAGCAGGCAAATTTGCCCCAAATTTTGCCGCCCACGGGGATCATTAAGGTTCAAATTATAATGGGTAAGAGAGGGTTTAGGGCTTAGGGCTTGGGGTCCAGCTTCTAGCATATAGCTATACAATTATACAATACATATATATATATATATATGGTGTATGTATCTAAATACAAACGTATGTATTTGTTATCTGTTCTGAGACAGCCGATCAGCTATATAGCTATATATATATATATATATATCAGTGCGACGTTTTCTGTATATATATATATATGTATACATACACATAATTAATATGGTCTGTTCTAAAAAATATCGCGTCTTTTTTGTTGGCTTTGCCAAGCATGGCCCCCTGTCTTTAGGGCGAACAAAGATTAAGGCAGGGTTCCAAATTCAACTCAGAGAGCTGGACACATAGATTCATCTTCAGATGCCTCCTCTTAGAACCTTAATAAAAATATTTTTTTAATATCGGTTTTGTACAAACAAAAACTAAAAAAAGAACCATTCCAAGGGGGATATAGATAACGGTTAGGGTAGAGGGCCCGCACATGCCCCCCAAGAAAGCCTACAGAAAGCCCCAGCATTCTCAACTTGATCTAGGTTTCGGGTTTAGCCTCCACCAACCTCCAACTTCACGATCTCAAAGCACGGAAATGGCCACACCCGAACCCTCAACCCTTGATTCAAGAATCCTCAATAAAGGACCCCAAACCCTAAACCCTAACTCCAAAGCTGCCAAAAACCCAGGGTCCTACGAGCCAGCACATCACTGGGGTAGCATGAGCTGGGTGCAAAGTTAAAGCAGCTCGAGACCTTAACCCCTCTACCCTACACCCTAAACCCTAGACCCGTGAGCTTTGACTAAGGGCATAGGCTTTTGGGCTTGCACAGGGGGCTCGAGCCAGCTGTTAGCGCTTCGGGCCTTTAGGCGGGCCCTTTAGACCCCAAAACCAAAAAAAGTACAAAATAAAGATTCACACACATAAACCTATACCTTAGAAGCCACAGTAAGAGCCCTCACAGAACGCAGGAAAGAGCTACTTATGGAAGATGGGCAGAGGGGGGTTGGAGCCTAGGCCCCAATTCATGGAAAGTCTTGCACAATCCAAGAACTCTTCCCGAAGGTTTAGGGCTTAGGGTTTAGGATCTAGGGTTTAGGCTTTAGGGTTCAGGGTTTAGGGTTGAGTATTCAGGGTTTAGGGTTAAGGGGTTCACGGGTAGATGTACTTGGGCTCAAGCGGAGCTTCCCTACTTAGAACCCAAAACCGTAAACCTGATCCCCCGACTTGCAACGACTCACGATCCTTCAAGCAGTCAAGCGCAGTCTGCACTACCGCTCTAAACGCACGAAACCCTGATTTGGCCAGGCTATAAGCCACCTCATTTTGTGTAGTGGAGTTTAGCTCCTAGTAAGGAACCCTTTATCTAGATCCATATCGACCCAGATCTATACCTATATAGTGGATCGCAAAACGCGACATAACGAACACAACAAGTACTTCTGGCTGCTTCTGAGTCGCTTCAAGTGCATGTGCAACCTTTACTTATCTGGCTGGGTTTTAGGAGGAAATCAGGGAATGAGGTGCCCTACATAATTTCTTAAAGGGTCATGCGGGGGTTAAGGGAAGTATTGGGCCTGGCGGGCTCAGTTGTCGAAGAGCTCGCAGAGGGCCTTGTAAGCGGCAGTGACCTTCTTGAAGTGCGCTCCGTCGTCCCGGGTCTGCTTGTCCGGATGGAGTTTCAAGGCCAGCTGCCGGTAAGCCTTGCGTACCTCCGGGGGTGGGGCCCCTGGGCGCAGGCCCAGGACCTGGTAGTGCTCGGATCCTGGGGGCTCTTCGTCCGGCGAGGCTGCGCGGTTCGAGGAGCCCCAGGCGTCGTGCGGAAAGCCGTGGAAACCGGAGTAGCCGTACGCCTTGCTCGTGAAGCCGCTGGCAAATCCCGGGGCCTTCGGTGCGGGCTTGGGCTTGGGGTCGGGTTGCGTGTAGGTGTGGCCGGTGCCCTTCTTGGTGCTGGTGGCACCAGGTGGTGGCCCACAGGGTGCTGACCATCCACGGCTCTCACCCGTCTGATGCCGGTCGTAGCCCGGCGCGACGGCGCCGGTCCAGGCGGCCACGCGCTGGGCTTCGGTGCGACTGCCCTTGGCGCCGCTGTAGCTCCCCTCGCCAGGCTCCCAGATTCCCGGAACGCCGCCAGCAGGGAGCGGCCCTGTGGCACCCGGAAAGGCGTCCTGGACTAACCTCCTCACCAGATCCCCCTCGCCGTCCGCATGTGGGTTCTCCGTCTCCAGGAGGATGATGTTGCTGACGCGCGTCCGGTTCACAAAGGGGATCTTCCGACGCCAGCACTCCGACTGCAGCTGCTTGAGGGACATCTGCTCCCACACCAGGACATCAGAGAGCCTCGACAGCACGTCCCGCCGCTCGATGAGGTTGTCCAGCGGAATCCGGCGCTTGAAGCACTCGTCCTTCAAGGCGCAGATGCCGTAGCGCTCCCAAGACGTGGCTTCCTGTAGCATGGCAGCCATCTGCTTGGCATCTGGGCCCCAAGTGATGCAGAGGCCACACCGCTCGCACCTCTCGCGAAGCTCGATCAGGGGGTCGGGGGGAACCGGAGGAACTTCCTTCTCCGGCGATGGTCTCGTGGCATCGTTGGCACCTTCATCACTGGTGCTCCCTTCGCACTCGGAAAGGTCATCGAAGTCGAACATGGTCTCTCAGCTGCAAGCCCACCCATGGCGAAACCGGGAAGCCGGGACTTGCATGGAACGAAATGCGCCAGCCTTGTCGCATACGCATGAACACCGCATACTCTCAAGACCTCAAGGGCCATCTTCAACCGACAAACCACTACACCATGGAAGCTTCACCACCCGGAGCTGTGCCCTTTTCAACTCTCTGAGCCTGCGCATGGCTTTGCGGGACTTTCCCAGGCTTCAAGCAAATTTCCCCCCCGCCCTAAATTTCCAGCCCTCGAAAGCAGAAACTCTACACACCATATGCTCTCGAACAGTTTGAAGCCTTGCTGCCATTGAAAAAGCGAAACCTTTGCCCCTCTGTGAACTAAAGGGTGGGGGACCCCAAGCCCTGCATGAGAGCTGCGGCAATGTTGGCCTGCGAGGGCGAAGCTGAGACGTCCGCCCTGGCGGGTTTGAGGTTTACAGGGTTTTGGATTTAGGCATTTAAGATTTAAGGCACCAGGCAATACTTCTTGGGGGGGGGGGGGGTTAGGGATTTTGGGGATGTCGGGGCCTTTCGGAACTCAGCCAACAAGGCAACGAAAATGATAACGAAAGCAGGGCGCGAAGCTTCGGGGGCCAGAGCCGAACGCGCGACAGCCCAAACTAAGTCAACGTCACAAGGTCGCACAAACACCCTGCAATAGAGGCGCTGAAACAACAACCCAGATCAAGCAATGGTAAGTATGCATGTATGTATATATATATATATATATGCATATATATATATATATGTATTGCATGTGCATATGTATACATGTATGTATACATGGAGCTCAGCCAAAACGTAAGCTCAGATGTCGGCGAACTAGGGCTATAACTTGTGGCCTATCTAGGTTAGTACAGCCGCACCACACGAACCAGGGGATTTAGGGGTCGAGACCTTGGGGGGGTTCGAGTTCTGGGTCCCTTGAGATTGCGGGCCATGAGGCCCAGGGGCCTTATACTTTATCAGGTTGGCCTTTGAAGCCCCCTGGAATAAATCCTAAACCCTGAACCCTAAACCCTAAACCCTAAATATGGTCCTCTCAAACACCAAGGGGAACATATGAAATAGCCAAGGGACTACCTCGTTGAAGAGACGAAACCCTAAAACCCAAACCGCGCGCCCCCTCCTCCCGCTCCATTCCTCAAGACAAAAGACCCAAGCTTCAACCCTGAACCCGTCTTAAACTTAAACCTACCTTCAACCCTGAACCCGTTTTAAATCATTTTCGATGCAACTCTGTGGAAGATTCAGGACGTTTTGCGTTTAGGAGGACGTCAAGCAGAAACGGGAGAAAAACCACGAAGATTCGGGATTTCTAAGACTTGGGGGCCTCGACTTCTGGCCGACCAGCTGTGCGATGGACCTGGCTTGCGAGAGGCTTAGGGTTTGGGTGTTGGGGCTTGGGGTGCTTAAGGATCTCTAAGGGCTTCTGAGTGGAGGCTAGGGGTTTACGGGTTTAGGGTTTGGAATTCAGGGCTTTAAGGGTTTAGGGAATTTCTCCTGCAGTGTGGTGTCGGGATTGGGCCCCTCCTAACCTTCAAAGTTGGCCTTTGCCCCCTGTCACCTCGTCCCTCTATGCCGGCCCTTCAGACCCTAAACCCTAAACCCGAAACCCTAAACCGCAGACATGCACTGGCACACAAACACACGCGACCAGAAATGCCTTGCAACCATCCTCAGAATTCAACACCAGGGTTCGATAATCAAGCAGGACGGGATTTAAACCAATCTTCCGCATTCGCTCCGGACCGTAAACCCCTATGATGGTTAAGTTCCCGGCGCCCAGGGGAATTCGGAGAACCAGGGCCCCCCACATGTGGGCATGTCCCAAATTGGGGGGTACCCTGTTTCTACCTCACAAATAGACTGGAACCCCCCCAAAAAAGGGTACCCCCATTTTCCGAACCCCCCCCCCCCCCCCCATGTAAATCAAAGGGCCGCTCTTGGGTTGTCCAGATGGCAGATTCCTTATCCATGAAGGGGTTCAGGGTTTGGGGTTTAGAGTTTAAGGATTCCTTATCCATTGAGGTACCCATGGCGCACAAGTTAGATCAACCCAAAACCCGAAATCCTAAACAGAATCCCTCCAAGGAGTCAGCGGCTCCTTCCTGCATAAACCCTAAACCCAGCAACCCGCCAGCCTAAACCCTAAACCCTAGACCCTAGACCCTAAACCCCTTTGAGCCCTAAACCCTAAAACCTTATCATTAAACCCTAAACCCTCCAAACCCAACTGTTCGCCCCAGGAAATCCGTGGCGCAGTGCCCTTTCACTTCAGAATATGTTTCAGCGAAGGTCTTATAGGGCTTTGCAGGGCTTTGGGGGTTCATAGGGCCTTTGGGGTTTACAGGGTTTAGAGGCTTTAGGGCTTTTGGGGTTTAGGGGTTTTGGGGTTTAGGGTTTTTTGGGTTGAGGGTTTTTAGGGTTTTGGGGGTTTGGGAACCAAAGTGGCTCCTCGTTTGCAAGGGCTTACGGGCGCATCCTGAGCTGCAAAGCCCTCCCACATGAACCTGGAGTCACCCTGCATGGTAGGGCACGCATGCTTTGGTTTTGGGGGTTTAGGGGGGTGGGGGTTTAGGGGTTTAGGGGTTTAGGGTTTAGGGTTTAAGGGTTTAGGGGTTTAGGGTTTCAGGGTTAAGGGCGGGCTGTCGGGTTTCGGAAGGCCTCCGGCGTCCTTGGCCACCATGCTGGATCTGGATCCCAGCCCGCTCCGCCCTGAAGGCGTGCTGGACGCAGAGGCACCCTCAATGCCATTTCCCCTGCACCCCAGAACCCTGAGCCCTAAACCCTAAACCCTAAACCCGAAACCCTGGACCCTAAACCGTAAACCTTAAACCCCTGCACCTCAGAACCTCGAACCCCATGCGCGTAGGCTGCCTTGTCCCATGGGCTTAGTGTGGCTTCCCTGTGCAGTAAGAGCAGGTCATATAGAGTTTAGGGTTTAGGGTGTAGGGTTGAGGGTCTTAGGTATCTAGAGACTATGTAGAGTCGAGAATTAAATGTGCACACATAGCTACCTTCATACACGCAGGGGTCTCTGCGGCGATCAAAACAAAGGGCTTAAACCGCCCTTACCCCTAAACTGGCCCCAAAACCGTACACCTTAAGCCCAACGGCCATGTCAACTATGATCTTGAAAGGCTAGACCCGAACCCCTGGACGCACAGGCTCTTGATGTGAGTTCTTGGCATGAGCTGACTGCAGATTTAGGGTTTAGGGTTCTCGGGGTTTGTATTAATTAGGGTTTCGGGTTTATAGGCTGTGGGGTTTTAAGGTTTGGTGTACTCGAAGAGCTGGTCGTCCTGGGCTAGTCCCAGATTCGAGCCTAAACTGGTTCCCAACAGGGTTTGGGCTTGGCTTCCCAAACAACCCGGCCCTTAGGGCCTATGGTGTAGGTATTGGGTCCTGTACATAGTTAGGTTAGATCGTAGTACTCTATATGGAATCAGATTCTGTTCTCGGGTACCTAACTCAGCTATAGTATGAGGCATGCATAAACGAAGTGAAGCAACCTTCTCACTGGGGCCCTTGGCAGGCATTCTTCCTGTTTACTGCACCAAAGGCTTCAGTGTTTAGAGTTTGGGGGTTTAGGGGTTTAGGAGTTTAGGGGTTTAGGGGTTTAGGGGTTTAGGCCTGCGGAACTTGGAGAGGATGGAGAGGCTGCACAGGAGAATCCTCCCCTTAATGTGGAATCCGACCTCTGGCGAGACTGCAGGGTTATCAAGGGTGCCATGCACGCGCCTTGTCGCTGTCTTTTGGACAGCAGGCGACGGAGAAGGGCTTGCCCCCAAGCCGCTCGCGTTGCTCACCTCGGCTACTGACAAAATTACACATACACCACATGAACTATTCCTTCATCAACTCCTTAGTTGGGGATTATACTACCCCAAAAAGGTTAAAGGTTACCTACTCTACTACTAGGACTAGAACCCATGGGCAATATCAAATTCCATGACGCTCTTCCAAACAGCAAACCAATCGTTGATGCGGGTCGCAACCATCTGCTACGGTTTTGGGCATTTGGGGGTTTACGAAAATAATGGACCCCTAATATGGACCCCACCAAATAGTAGGATGGGGGTTTACGAAAACAAGGGACCCCTCACATAGACCCCGGATAGTAGGATCCCCCTAAAGTAAGTGCCCCAAGAATGTACCCCTAATCTCGGAACCTCCCCTAACCCCTAAACCCTAAACCCTAAACCCTAAATCCTCCCCCCCCCCCCCCCCCTTTGGGGTCTTCCAGGACTGCTGCTTTCGGGGGCTTTTCAGGGTTTGGGCTTCCGCGTCGGGGCCAGAAACCTTCTGCAGCTCAAGGCTTGGCCATTCCGGTTGAGTTCATGGTGCACCTTTACCAGGTTTGTGGGGTTTAGGGTTTTAGGGTCATAGAGTCTAGGGTTTAGAGTTTGGGGTTTGGGGTAATGATGGAGTTCGAGGACCCAGGTGTCAGAAGTACAGGTTGACGACACTTAAGAATTGAAAACGAAGGCTGAAGGCAGGGTTTAGGGTTTCGGGTTTAGGGATTAGGGTTGAGGGTGTTACATCCGCCCCTCCCCCCTGGCCCCCGGCTTAGAATTCAAGCCTTCATGCAAGGCTGAACACCCTAAACCCGCCTCAAGTCTAAGGGGAAACTAAGGGCTTTGACCCGAATTCCCGATGCCCTCCCTTCCCATGGCATCAATTTAGGGCGAGGATGTCGCATGTATGCATGTGTCAAGCAACAGTGCTGTCAGGCGACTTTGTCTTTGCAATGTTCGGAACCCTAAGCCCTCCACCACCCTAGGTCAGCAAGCTAAGGTACACTATGGCTAGGGTTCGGGGTTTAGGGCTTGGGGGCTTGGGGTTTCGGGTGTGGGGTTAAGCAAGGGCTAGGTCTAGGCTTTCGGCATTCGGCTTTTGGGCTTAGGTTGTGGTTGACACCCGACTCATCAAACATAGCAAGCAACCCGCACAGCCCCGTGACAGGTCAATCGCAAAAAAATCA